TTGATGGCGATCAGTTTTACTTTCACACGATCGGGGACTTCTTTATATTCAAAAATACGTTCCACTTCATTAATCTAATCCACGAATCCCTCAGCCTGTAACGTACCAGAAAACTCAGGGAGATCGACCCGAAAATCAAGGTCTCCGTGACGCTCTTCCCGACCACGGTGCTCCCGGAATAGAGCACGAATGTGATATGGGTTTTCGAAAGTGGAATTGGTATCGTGATCAGAGGCCTCACGATTCTCGAAGTCCTGTGCCACCAGGCGCTGGGTTAATTCTACGACTTACCTCTGCAAATCCGCAATCATCACATCCTGAACGCTGCGATCACGGCGTTGGGCTTCCTCATTCGGAACCTCCTCATGACGACTACGACCACGACCTCCAGCCATTGAAACTGGTGAAATTTCCCAGGAAGATGTTGAAGCTCTGATACCAACTGACGCCGGACAGAATAATGATTATCCTGCAGGCGCTCCAACAGATGATTCACAAGAGAAAATTCGCCCAAAAAAATAGAGAAAAAATTCTCTAGGTTTTTAATAAAATATTATAAAATCAAACAATACCAAAATCAGTCCACAAGCCGGACTGTTATAGCCAAAAATCGTCTTTATTCGAATTTTGCCAAAAATAGAAAAATCCCGAAAATCACTCTAAATTAAAATTCGAAATAAAAAGAGCAATCTCCAAAAAATCCGGCCTAAATCGGATTTAAATTTACTTTCTAATTGACAATCGAAATATTATCATAAATAGTAAAAAAAATATCTAAATCTAGTGATTCGGAGGGGAAAACGGCAGAATTTGAGGTTGAAAAAAAGGCCACATGGAGCATAGCTGTGGAGAGCGTGTGCATCGAAAAGAGCTTTCCGGATTGGGGTCTTATGCGCGATTCTGACACCTGTAGCCAAAGTTATGGCCAAAAAACTGAAACATATTCAAAATGACCCCAATGAGGAACATGTCACAATCAATTCCCGCCTTTGCGCTGATCTGCCAATTCATGGTATCTCAGCACCATCAAGGTGCAATCTGACAACTCAGCATCATCTGTCTCGGATCCCCCTACATCATATATTCACAAAGTAAACTTATATGATTTTATTTTGTAGTTGATCAACTTTCAAATCAACTTGTGAATTGCTGACTTGAGCACGGATTTACTTGAAAGCAGTTTAACTTGAAACGGTAACGTAAAGAAAATAAAATAAAAATGAACAAAAGTAAGCAGAAGGTGGGAAGGAGAAATGGACGGTAACGTTGTTTGTGCATAATCTTCCAACGACTATGCTCTCTCCAAGGGATTATGGACAGGGATCGATTGAGGGGCGGTTAGAAGCAATCGTCCCTTCTATTTGTTTTTTTTATAAATATTGAGGTCTCGTTAAAAATCTCTTACTTTTATTAATAGGATGAATTCTATTACAACACAAGCGAATAATCAACCCCTTAACAAACCAATGTGATATAGACATGAAAACAGAATATAAAACCACGGCTCTCTAAATAATGGCCTAGGGACTAAAGCCATACACAACTACAGATCAAAAATAGCATTGGTGTGGTGTCTATCCGATTCCAGCCTTAACCAGATTATCATCTTCAATGGTGAGGTATAAAATTATATATATATATATATATATATATACACCTTATTAATTCATTCGAGACATTTGGATATTGTTCGCATGTTATATGATTAAAAATATTTTATATGATATATGTGCTTTGTAAATATTGATGTTATGAGATATGTGGGAGAGATAATAAAATGTTGCATAATGTATTCGAGAGTTTGATTCTTGAATAGTATCTAAAAGAAACATGAAATGTTGTATAAAACTTGAAACTTAAAAAGAAAAAACAACTTAAAGAAATGCATATAGCATGTTATTGTCACGCCCTTAGAGTCTTAGTTTGAGCTTGAAGGTTCTGAGAGCGTGACATTATTATTTAAATTATGTGGTAGTGCACCACATTGATAATTATTAATTGTGTAGATAAATAGGGCTAACGAGGGCAAAGAAGGTGGGCAAATTAACGACGTGAAATTCAAAGCTTTTTTAAACAAATCTACTAATAGAATTTTCTTGTGTTTTTAAAAAGTAACTTGGACTTAAATATGGAGTTTGATTTTACCTACTATTTTTTAACTTTAAACTTTAGACAATAATTGAATTGATTTTGTGTTTGACATTGAGGATGATGATGTATGCTTAATATATGGGTGATAGCTAGTAGACTAGTTTGCCTAAAAAATGTTAATCATGTTATTTATGAAAATTAAACATGTTACTTGTGACCAATTAGACTAAAAAGATCATTGGGTAGGTTGATTGTATGGTTGATGCATGTAAGAGTAAGTGCTCAAGTGCTTGATTTGTAGTAAATAATAATTGAATTGAGGGATCGAATTTATATCTGAATTATTTCTTTTGTATTTATAAATTTAAAAATATGAATGAAACAGGTTATACCTGTTGGTTAGATAAAATGATCAAATATACTAAATGATGATATGGATTCCTAAAAGAAAATGAAACATTGTATGAAACAAGTAAATATTTGAATTGAGATTAAATCAACGACGGATTCAAAAATATTTTTTTAGGGTGGACACATATATATTAATAATATAATTTTTTTCGTATGAGATGAACACAAATAAAATTTCAAGATGATCACATATATTTCCTAAACTGAGGGTGTATCCGCCACTTATTTAGTTGCAATTTCCATCAATATTTTCTGATTGTTCATTTTTCTTGGACCAAATATTTCTTGGAGAGTAAATATATATATATATATATATCAAAGAGAAAATGTTATTACGTCATTCCGAGTCATAACACCAAATCAATAATCATATAACAACATAATAATGAGATATTTGAAAATAAAATAAAAAATATGGATATTTGTGGATTTAATATCTGAAAAACAATAAAGAATAAAAAAATTAAAACCAAAAATCAATGTAAAACAACTCCAATAGACTTTGATTAAGATTCCCAACTACTCTGGACTCTGATACACTATATATCCTTTTATTCTAATGTAAATTAATAATACATTATTCAACCATCTTTTCTCATTAATTTGAAAAGGTTTATTCGTCTCCTTCTAGTTCATTGGTATGACTTTTTAAACATGATTTTATAATATATAGAAAGAAAAAAACATACAAACACTATCAAAATTTACGTATAATAAATATTTTTTTTGTTAGTCTCACGGTTCCAAAAAAAATAACATGTATTTCCTATATTTATTATAGACCGATTCACGCCGCACACCTGATTTTGGTGGGTGAGTTTCTCAGGCAGAGATTTTATGCATACACAATAACTTGAATTCAAGATCTTGCTTAAGCGATATCAAGTTGCTTACCGCTTGAACCAATCCCGTTGGTGTAATAAATATATTTTTGGTCCCTCTTTTATGTTAAAAAATAACATGTATTTCCTATATTTTAATTCAATGTAATTTATTTCTCTTACTAGAAAATTATTAGCTAATTCAAATTTGTAGCACTGTTAACTATTTCTATTATTTCATCGACTTACCAAAAAAAAATTCCTACCAAAATACCAACGTATCAAAAATTACTAATAAGTTGAATATTTAAAGTGCTTTTAAAAATTTTAAGTCGGTATTTTAATAAAATAGTTTATAATATTAATTATTTGACTAACTAAAACAATATGACAATAGAGATCAAATATCAAATTAAACATATATTTTCGATGGCCTCATATTTTCTTGTTCAAAATTTGAAATCCACTCTTATCCTAACTATTAAAAAAAAGAAACATGGACTAAAATTCAACTTTTGCATGTTGAGGCCTTGAGAGAAAAAAAATCATAGCGTGGTCTTAAAATTTAATTTATTATTTAGATCAAAATTAGTGAAATAAATATCTTCACAAGTGATATTAATATGATAATAAGGATATTTAAATTATTTTTAAAACATTTAAAAATAAATAAATATAAATTTATCATCTTCTTAAAAAACCGTTCTTAGAAGCATTTTATTTCACCAATCATATATTAAATAATAATCTCTAAAATTACTAGAAACAATAATATGATATTTTATGAATATATAAAATATAAATGTTAGACGATGAACCAAATTTGTACGGATTTGAATAATGTACTTTCATGTGTTGATTTCATTTCCATCAACTTGGGGAGGGTTCATCATTATTTTGTACGGACTTGAATTTACATAGCAATCGTTAAATTTGGTACTTTATGATTTCGCTTTCATCGCCTCGAGCAACTTCCTACCTCTTTCATTGCTATAAAATTATTAAGCGTAACTTCAATTTCTAGAAAATGTAATGGTTATATGAATCTAGTAATATGACGCATTAAATTCTTTAAATATGATTAGTGGTTTGAATCTTAACGTTTATCGATGTGGTAAATTAAGTTAGAAAACTTGTCCTATAATAGGCCTTTACAAAATCCGATCTAAATTAATCGGTTAACAGATCGAATACTAATGATTAATTCAAAAAAAATACACGTATTTTACGCGTGTAGATTAATGTAATTACTTATAAATTTTTAAGTGTTATAACTCTAATTAGTGTAAACTACATCGAATATCATTACTTAACCTTTAATTGTTTCAAATTTAAATATTAAAAAAAACCTTTAATTGTTTTAAATTTAAATATTAAAAAATCCATTAAGCAATCTCAGATGTTCAAGCGAGTGTTATTCTTTCTAGAAATTCTTTGTTTAAACAGTTGCATCTACAATGTACATGTATTAACAATGACTAAGAATGATTCTGAACATATATTATCTTACATGTTATTAAAAAAAATAATAAGACAAAATAGTTCAAGATTGAAGACAAGGTTGATTGAGGTGTTAACATCCGAGAAGCCTTCTCCTGTGATTAAACATAACATAAAGCATATCCATGAAAATGAACCAATCCACTAACTTGGTGCCCCGCAAATACAAGTGCTTTCAAGTTCAGTACCATTCTAGGCAGCAAACAAGCTCACAATACCGCAAATACCGGGTAAAAGAGCAACAATAAAGCTTTATATGTATCACAACATCACTGATATTTCATGCCAAATGTTAAGTTTCAGGTTTCAAACGACCATCCCTGAGTCATCGAGCGAAACCGATAAATATTCTTTCGTCTAATTCCCTATCTGAGTCTATTGCAACTAATCCCATCACTAGGGCTAACCAACCAACCCAACGTGAAGGCACATTCAATGTTTCCATATCTTAAGTACTGGTACTCCCCCTTCTCGGAACCGGTTTGTAAAGCACGACAGTAACATACTTTGAACGAAAACGGTGAGTAAACCCAAGTGCCACTACAGATCTAGGTGCCTCTCGGTTTTCAATGTAAAGATGATTTAGAATCACATTTTCTGGAAAAGGGATACTCCCTGAAGCATTCAGACTTGAGGGGTAGCTAAGCAACGAACGATGTAGGTGTGGAGGGTCAGCTGGCGGGTCACGTGTGTCATCTTCACTCCCGGGGTACGGATTATTATAACTTGAATCAGGTGATCTTGGCACTTCAAACCCAATGACAGTTGCTTCATCCTGAACAAAACACCACATATTTGAACTCCCAAATTTTTAATACTACAAAACAATCACCAAAGATTTAGTGACTTACATGATCTTCACCATATTGATTGTTCATGCTGAGAAGTTATACAAGATGCTAACAGGGCCGAACTATAAACAAAGCAGTATTACAACACCAAGTGAGCCTGAAATAAAACAATTATTTCGATGTCAGCATTTCAAAGTTTAACAAAGCAACATGTAAACTTAACAACCAGAGAAATATACAATCGACTCTGATTTGATTTTATGACGAAGGGGAAAAGAAAAGAAAAGAAAAACCATGACGAAAGAATTCAATAAGGCCTCATTCAAATTAGAATGAACAATGCTAAAACACTATTGTCTGAATGAAAGTTTAACAGAGATCAAGAATATAAAATATGAGGCATCAAGCTCATCGGCTGTTTTTGAGTTGCTTTCTGCAAGACTTGAATGGCATTGACGTCCAACAGTGTTCACCATGCAATATGCAAATCATCTAAAGTCACAACTAGCATTTTTATTAATTATGGCGCTGAGAAACATCTAGCAGTAAAGCTAGACTGAAAATGCAGACCATAAAATTGTTTATATAAATTATAAAACCAAAAAATTATTAAAATTATAAAAAAAGTTCTTTAAAAATTAATTTATATATTTTTTTATAAAGACTACTTTTTTTTAATAAAAAATATTCAAAATCTAAAATAAAAATTATAAAAATGTTAATTATAAAAAAAAATTCCAAATGATAAATTTGAGGACTTAAACAAACAAGTTAACAAATCAAATTTATCATACTAAAGTATCTTGTTTTCTTTTCTTTTCCTTTTCTTAAAGAGTTCTCAAATATAGATTTATGTGCTCTAACTTGGAATTTAATCATATTGCAAACGCGGTTTTAATTCAATTCGAATAAAATTACTCGAATCAATTCCAAAAAAAATCAAATTGAGTTAAGATGATAAAATATGACTCGCCAACTTAACTAACTCAAATTTTTTTCACTCGATTCGATGGTATTCAGCAGTAGAATGCCAGTATGCCACGACCTTGTAAAAGAATCTAGGATGTTCAATGCAGAGACTACAGAATAAAGTTGCAAACCATACAGCTGAGAAAAGTTTAAACAAGTCATAGTTCATTAAGGCCAGCAGAAATTAACACTGTCTCAACGACACAAGTAGGAGGACAGCAGACGAATGAAACAGAAGGGCAAGCGATACTATTATAAGCAAAAGCCATTCTGATTAAGCATCACAAAATCATATTAAGTTGTCTAAGAAATACAAAGGATAGAAATTTAGAGTGTACAAGTAAAACATTTTTTCTTGCCCACAGATACCCTAACAAGGATAGCACTCGCAACAATGAACCTCTTATTTAAAGATTGCATGTTACAGGGTCACTTGTGAACTGTATTGGCTTCATGATATAACCCTGCAGGTTCATTGAAGCCCAGTTTCTGTCCAGGAAAAATATGCCCTATTGCTTCTAACTTGGAATTGTCCATAAAAAGTCTATAATCATTTCGAAGTTGTTTACACAAACAATATGTTAGGTCTTACGGAAAACTTTTGGTTGGAAGGGGGGGGGGTGTGTGAAGTTGTTTCTGAAGGAAGAGCTTTATGATAAATTAAAGCATTCAAATAAATCCAGATTTTATTCCTATGAAACCAAAGATAAGTTTGGCATCAAGCGATAATCAAATCGACAGTGGAGGAATTTGAATGGTAAGAAAGGCTAGCTCACCAACAACTAAAACCCCAAAGTGGGACATATATAGTTCTACTGATATATTCTGTGGTAATTGTCCTATTCAATTCCATAGCATGACGGGCTCAAAATCTCCATAATTCAGCAAAGCATTAATTCCTAGCAACACATAAACAAAGCATTCTAAATGCAACTCTTGAATTTATTATAATATCCAATTTTTCAGACAAGAGTAACCGTAACAATGAAAATATCATCAATTTCTTCAAAGCATATAATGCAAAGCTTCGTATAATCCACATAACATATACGAACCCAAAGAATTCAGCTCCGTAAAAGCATTCTAAAGCTCGCAGACACAACCTAAAATTTCAAATAAAGCTATACAGAAGAATTCAATTCCTAGCCAAAGAAATTAGTTCGTTCAATAACAATAGAATAGAGAGCGACCTCAATCACCGAAAGTTCAAGTTTTTCAATTCCACGTCTCAGCTTGAAAGAAAGAAAAAAACCCAAACTTTACACTAAATAGTTGAATAATTTTTCAATGTCACCAAGCTTTGAAGCTTACCTGCAAAGCTAAAGCAAACCCAGATTAAATCTGACCCGACACATTAAAAACTTAGGAAAATAAAAACAAAAAACCCAAAAATTCTAATATGAACAAATAAAATTCAGCTAGCAGCAACGAAATGGGATTTCAAAAATAAGCAAGAAAGAGAGGGGAAAAAATCAAATACATAGACACAGTGTCCCTTACCCTGAGAAAAAAGATAAAAATTTCCAGCAGAAAATAAAGGGGGAAATAATTGTAGGAGAAGAACCCAAAAATAAGAGAGTAGCTAGTGGCAGGAGAATCGACCGCGAGAATCTGCCCTGAATATTGTTTTTATTAAAAGCATCAATGAAGCGAAGGAAAATATTTGATAATTAATAAACCCTTTTTCTTGTAAATTCTCTCGAGAAATAAAAATAGTGAGATTATACCTCAAGAAAATAATATCTATAAGAGGAAATTTAAAGGAAAATTTTCAGTCATAAAACAAATTTTCAGGGCGGAGCTGAAATTTTGCAATGCACAATTATTAGTATGTTTTTCTTAGACGGACGGCTTTACTATCTAAATTTAACTACACATCATTTATATTTTCAAATTTTAATATCTGAATTTTAAAATATTCTTAAAATACTAGTTATAGTTTAAAAGAATTAATATATATAAGCATGAACTAAGCAACTTCAGTTGTAAAGAAATTATTATTATTTCTTAAAATTTTGAGTTCGAGTATAAGAAATGTAAGCGTAGATATTACTTTGTATTTACCTCAAATTAATAAAAAATAATATATATGAATTTTACAATCATTTTAATATCTAAATTTTATAATTATAAAAAAAAATGAGTTCATTAGTTACTAATTAAATAGCAATTTATTTAATTCAAAAATTAAGGTTAACCTATAAATTTAATCCATCATTTTTAGATTTTAAAATATTGATTTCGATTTAAATAATAGAGATAAAATAAATAATGTCGTTAATTTCTATGTTATGTATTAGTCATAGATTTCATTTATGTTTTTAAATTTAATAATTTTTAGGTGATGCTTTTCGATTATATTATATTTATTTTACTTGAGTTAAAGATTAAAATTTAAAAAAAATATGCGTAATACTAATGCTAATCATAAATTTGACCTTGATTAAAACATACAATTATTTTTTAAGATATTTTTTTGTCTATTAGCCTACGATATATATTATAAACTAAAAACGGTAGGGTGTAATTTTTATTTTAAACTTAAATTTTACATTACAATTATAATAAATAAAATTGAATTATTCAACAAAACATATTAAGATTGAACAATGATTAAATCGGTATTAATTGATTCACACCGTTTTGTTTCTTCAAAGTAATATCTGTGTTATACACTTAAACACATCTAGATGTTCTATAATTCAATTTGACTCTAATTTTACTGATTTAGATTAGATAAATTTACATAAATATCAATAAATGATGGTTAACTAAATTGATTGTATGTTCCCTAATTTACTCGGGCCAACTTAAGCATCGATACTTGAACCCAAATTTTGATTACGCCATGTACCAAAAATTAACAATAAACCAATGAAAAGAAAAAGAAAAAAATATTAAAGCTCAATGCCATTTCCGAAGCATCACTGTACAGCGATAGCAACTTTGGATTAAATTACCTAGTAATTAACGAGCCATAAAAGAAAACATCAGGGAAAAGTAAGAGCATTGCGGCTCCGAAAACTGCTTCCATATACTTTTAGTTCTAGCGGATGTCAATTGGTCCCCGCAAAATGCCATTATCTTATCATGATGGAATTCTTCATCATCAGGGAAGTAGCCGTTCTTCATCACATCTTGCAATGCCAAATCATCGTTCTCTTCATCTGACTTTGTCGAGCCTTCATCCACAGATCCTACCTGTTAGAACAGAAAATGAAGAGAAAAAATTAGAGCAAAATCCACACAAAATAAAGCAAGCAAAATGTAATACCTAGTTTCTTCCAGATTTCAATGTGTGAGTTTGGATTAGAACACAATTCTATATGAATTATAAAGCAGAACCTTATGCCGTTTCAGTCACCCAACGTTCATAAGTAGTAACGAATAAGCAATGTCATAAGTATCTTCCACGTAGCACAAACAATGAACTGACAAGAACAACTCTTGGCTATAATTGCGTGGAAGGTTGCAATATAGTTTACTCTGCAACTTAATCTCTGGAATCAATGTAATTATGTCTATGTATATATCGCCCATTGTAGACTCTAGACAAGTTCATACCTCTTCATGGACCTCTTGGTCACCATCACTAATATCCTCATCACTGTCAACCTCAGGTGGATCGTCAACTTCTTTGTCACTGTTGTACACTGAATTTTCCTCCTTCAACTGGGAGAAAGAGATTCGGTAAACCAAGTGCAAAATAAGCACAGCATGAAAAAATCCACACTTCTAGTATTAAAGGTGACTTCCATCTTCCTTGTTATTCATCTACTTCGAAATATACATGACAAGCGTAACATGAGCATGGTAAAGAGTGTTTGAAAAGAAAAACACATAGTAAGAGATGCTACCTCTTTTGCTGGACCATCGGACATCCTTGGAGAGCTACAGCATGAAGATTGGTACCTACTACCATTATCGGTACCATCATATCTTGATTCATCCACACTTCCAGCACAGCTTGTACCACCATCACTAGGCCAGGCACTAATTCCAAAGTGACCGAATTGAAGATTAGCAGGTTCAGCCCTGCCAAATTTTAATGGTCCATACAAGGGAATGCCAATTCCACCCTCAGTCCCATGGCCAGAGATAGGTTTTCCATTACTATCAACCAATTCAACTGGCCAAGCTTTTGCTACAGATCCATCAGCGTTAAGAAGGGCCATCAGTTGCCTACAAGAACCACTCCTCTGGATCAACTGAAACATTCCCTTGGAGCTCAGTGAATTGGCAGCACACTGGTTCCGGTACTCCTCATCAACCACTGCAACAGTGTTTGTCATAGGATCATAAAGTGGCTCCCCAGCTTCACGCCTGCGGAGGCAACTGAAAACAGTGGCATGTATGAGTGCCACGCTTCTGTCAACGTTTGTGTTGTTTATTTTGGAAACCAAATGCTTGTCAGCATGTTTACATAGATAATCCTGTATCGTCCTGATATTCCTTGTATACTTTACATACTTATTTTTAGCAGGGTCCAACGTCATGTACTTCGCACGAACTGCAAATCTTTCCAAGTGTTTGTCTTCATTTGTAATGTGTATCATGAATGGTATGATTGAGGGGTGTTTCTTCATAAGCCCCATCTAGATATAATAAAAGTTAACACACAGTTCAGGACAAAACATTTTGATGCAGGAAACCAAAAAAAAATGTATACTTACAATAAAATTAAGGCTTAAGTGAACACCCTCAACAACCACAGACTCTTTCCTCTCTTCCATGCAGTAATCAGCCTATCTAGACTGTCGATTACCATCTCACTTTGTTCCTTGAACCCTTCAACCGCCATCTGTTTGGAACTGATCAAGTCGGTATTAGTGGAACCACTCTCCGATGCCCGGTCCCCCTTGCAAAAAGAACCATCAGCAACCTCATCCTTAGGAAGTGATTGAGTAATGCCAGACAACTTTTTTGCCTGTTTTTTAGCCTTTGCTTCTGCAACTGCCACAGGATCCAAGCACTCCTCAGCGTGATAAGTTGAAGCCCAGAGTAGAGGATTTTCCTTCTCGTCCACAAAACTTCTCATCATGTGGGGAATGGAGTCGGTTGAAATCACAGTTGTAATTCCCAACCTACCACCCTGTACAACATTATCAAATCACCAAGATTAGCTATTATGTGATTGCAGTTACAAACACTAGTGCTGCAACACTAATATATAAAGCAGAAGATACCAGCAAAGCAGACAAAGTAGATTTTCCACAACCACTAGTACCACACAACAGCACAGTTACAGATTCCTTCCTCTATCGTATTCTGCAGTGGAGACCAAATACAGTTACAATGGGAAACAAGAACGTTCCTGCATCTGATATGAAGCCCCCAAGCAAAGGACTTTGAACAAGACCATTCTAAAACCACCACAATCCTAATTATATCATATATGTAACTTTGCAACAACTAGGCATTAAAGATAAATAAACATGTTACATTCAAATATTATGCAATACTTGTGATGATGAACTCTCTTGGCAAAACCACCGAAAGGAGGAATAGTACAATTGGCAAACAATGGAAATTTTGATGAACTCGTTTCCATGGTTTCTCTTGAAATATGTTCTATGAAAAAACCTCATGTCAAATAAAGAGAGAATATCTGAAAGGAGTTACCAATCAACAAGCACACAAAAAATACCAGAATTTTTTTTTGAAGGAATATTTGCAGATTCAAAATGCAAGCAATCAATTACAATATTTGGGTAGGTGTAAGATGTCCCAGTTGCATGATACCTGCATTCCAAAACCAAGTCAGCTCTCTGGTTCGGGCCCACGTACTTATATTAAGACAGAGCTTCACAAACAACATCAAAGAAAGTTTCCCTTCCAACAACTGATGTGCGTCTTTTGTACAACTCAAATGGTATACTCTTATTTCGATCATCTTTATCTGAAACTAAATAACTTCCTTCCTCTGTTCTATGGAAGCCACCATTGGTGGCTCAAACATCTTCCTTCTCAGAGTTCTCTTTGAGACCATCAGAATTTAATGTTTGACTTCCCTCATGAAGTAGAGAGTCATAAAACGGTTCATTTCTTATCAATTCAAAAACCCTCTGGCTAATCTCGTAAGAAATACAAACAATACATGAAGAATAAGGATCCACTTTCCGTAAGATATGTAGAAACGTGAAAGAAAACCAATCATGTAAAATTAGAAAATTAAATTTGAAATGACATGCAAAACTCCAAACCTAAAATTATTAACGCTAAACTAATAATGGTGCATGACAGATAATCCGGTCAGTATAGATTACATAATAAGAATTCAATAAAGGAGTCTGATTGAGGAAAATACTCTCAACCTTGATATGAATATGCTTTTACAAGGCAATTCATTTAAGGCTCCCAAGCAGAAGCAATATACAAACTGAAAACAAAACTAATACCATGCACATTATTACGCAATAAATTCAGAAAACGATGACGGGATCACTTGGTGGAACAGGATCTAGAATGCAAAGGTACCCAAAAAAAATAAACAGATCAAAACTGATTTGATCTAAATTGATTTCGATCATTTACAAAGGTCTGAAAGGCAGAAACAAATAGGAGTCTAAAAATCTAACGAGATAAATATTCGGCCATATTTATGAAAACGACATGATGCTGATTTTTTGGGATATATATAAATATTCTACTA